GGCAGAACCACAGGCAATGCTGGCAGAACCACCAGGGGATCTGGCAGAACTTACAGGCAATTCTGGCAGAACCACCAGGGGATTCTGGCAGAACTTACAGGCAATTCTGGCAGAACCACCAGGGGATTCTGGCAAAACTTACAGGCAATTCTGGCAGAACCACCAGGGGATTCTGGCAGAACTTACAGGCAATTCTGGCAGAACCACCAGGCAATGCTGGCAGAACCACCAGGGGATTCTGGCAGAACCACCAGGAGATTCTGGCAGAACTTACAGGCAATTCTGGCAGAACCACCAGGGGACTCTGGCAGAACTTACAGGCAATTCTGGCAGAACCACCAGGCAATGCTGGCAGAACCACCAGGGGATTCTGGCAGAACTTACAGGCAATTCTGGCAGAACTTACAGGCAATTCTGGCAGAACCACCAGGCAATGCTGGCAGAACCACCAGGGGATTCTGGCAGAACCACCAGGCAATTCAGGCAGAACCACCAAGTAATTGTGGCAGAACCAACAGGTGATTCTGACATAACTAAGGAATTCTGGCTGAACAACCAGGTGATTTTGGCAAAACTACCAGGTGATTCTGGCAGAACCACCAGGGGATTTGTTCTGTCAATGATGATCTTTCACAATTTTAAACAGGCACTCAAATGATGAAAGTTAAAGTGCAGATTCCCTCTCAATTTTATAGTAGCAAAAACCTGGGAAACAGACCCAGATTTGTCATCATTATACATGCCTACACGTATGTACCATATTGTCAGACACAGATTTGCATGTTTGTACCTGATCTCTGTTACATCAGATTTATCTAAGTCCTGTAAGGCAATTCGGGCAGCTTCCAGAGCTGGTAAAGCTTCCTGCAATGCGTCTTCTGCTTCTTTCTGTAAGATTAGAGAATACAAGTAAAAACAAATAAGAAATAATGTCATGTATCCATTACACCAAGCTAAATACAATAAATCTTAATTATCTAAATATGATATAAAATAAATACATTGAATAAATAGCTTTTGTACAGCTAGTAAACACCATGCATGGAAAATTTAAATGTTTCCTGTCTAAAAAAACTTAATAATATTAAATAAAATTACATGTTTTGCCAAGAATTAATGTAACACATGTAAAAAGAATTTAAAAGAAAACTAAATTTTCTAAATTAAATAATTATTAACAGAAGTTTTAAACATGTCTTGATAAGGAATATTTGTTATCTCTATAATGGGTTTAAGGTGATTCAAGTTGAATGCACTATTATGACCAATACAATCCATACATGACTGAGACCCAGTTCCAGAATGCCAGGAATATTTGATTTTGATTTATTAATAATGAATATTCACCATTATGCTATCTTGAATTAAATAGAGAAATAAATACATATACATATGTGCAAAATGATGTATATATAAAGTTTGATCATGATTCATTGAGACATGTCAGAGATATACAACACTCAAGCAAAACAAAATGGCACCCAGTTAGCAAATTTGAAATAAAGTGCATCAAGGTTGTATAATAATGGAAGTATATGTGTATCCCAAGATGCATGACGTAAATGAGAAATTTGAATGTAAACGGTCAAATCATGTACAAGATACAGATGAAGATCTCACACTCACACACAGTCAAAGCATATGTCCCTGTTTTTGGATTACCGGTAAGTCTGAATGGGGGGGGGGGGGTCTAACATGTAAATTATACAATAAACTCCATGATATCCTGCTGAACGAAAATAAGTTGTCATCCATTTAAGGAGATATTCTTGTGATGGTGGGAGTGTAACAGCCTTTTCTGTATTTTCAAATGAAGGCACATCAAGACCAAATTTATAGCTACTTGTACCTACCTTTTCTACAGCGATGACTTTGCTCTGTACTTCTATCTCTTTACTTTTTGCCACAGCTATACCTTTTTTCTCAGTTGCCAGAGCAGTACCACTAGAAATCTCTTCTAAAAGCTGTTCACAAGCTTCAGTTTTTTCAGTCACAGCAACTTTCTGGACAGCCAGTTTTTCATTTAGCTCATTCAACTGAACACTGGCCTCCTCCAGTTTCAACATACCACTCTCCAAACGTTTGCACTAGGAAAGAAAGATCGAAAAAGGCTGATAATTTAGAATAGTTACATTATCAGTCATCTAGCTGCTGTATCTTTGGGACATACCAAATCCATGTTGCAAGAAGTAATACTTGACTTAAATGAAGAAAAACTGAAAATAATTGAAGTGTTGATATTAGGTATACTAACCTGAGACAAAATATACTCGTCTTTTTCATCCAATAGACCAAGGTAAGTGCTAACAAAATCAAGGTAGTTCTTGGGTGTCACATAGTTGTTACGTCGCAGCTTACGCAAAAATAGTTTACTTTTCTCTCCCACAGATTGATGCACAAATACCACATGATCTACAATAGATTGTTTGTGTTCATCTGGGATACTCTTGATCTGAAACAGTGTGTAAGTTGAGAAATATAATGCTACCGGTATACATAAACAAAAACATTTCCAGTATCACAAAGGTGTATTAGGATAAATGACTGTTGAGAAGTTCTAGTTTCAATAATAAGCAGACTATTTCATTTTAACAGATGACAGGCAGAAGGGATTTTAATCTGATGAAATATTCAAAATTAGATAATATGGGCCACCTTCTGGTCTACAGAGTGAGCATAACATTCTCCAATGGCCTTCATAAAAATGAGCAATACAAACAAAATAATAAAACTTACATCATCTCCGGCTAAGAAAGTGCTGGCAACGGCTTCCAAGGCTTGCTGTGGCCATGCCATATACCAATCAATACTGCAGTTATTCACAAGGCCAGGGAAGTTACGACATCGTGTACGTAGTGTATCACCAACCGGTGACATTGCTAAAACTATGTGCAGATTGCTAGCACATTTATTGACATAGTATTGCCAAATACTTTCCTTAGCTGGACCCACACCAAATTTCTTAGCTTCATCACGAATCTGTAAAGTCAAGCATTTATTTGTTGTTATTTCTTAAAATAGTAAAAAACCTTTTTTGAATTTCCGGAATCAGTTATAAAAGTTATTAAATCATACCTGTCCAACAATAGCTTCTTTTTCATCATCTGGAAACAGGGCAGGAACTATACCAGATGTTAACATGTTATTAATCAACTCCAGAAAACCTTAAAAAATAGTAATTAAAGTAAGATTTAAACATTAACTGATAAATGAAATGAATAATAGATCCATTAATGAAAACATCTTTCATTCATAAAATGTCATTCATTAAAGTCATTGAATTATCAGTAATACTACACTGGACACAATTACATTGCAAACATTTTATTAGAGCAAATATGCTTAATGCTATAGAAATGAACACAAAACATTAAAGCTTGAATGTTATTATGTTGCTGGTAGTAATAATAGATAATTTTGAAAGCCAAAACACTGCAAGACTTGTTGTACAGTGTTGCTGCACAGTTCTGGGAACCACCCAGTACTGTATTCACATGCAAATAAGTATATTATTACTATGAGGGATAAGACTATAATCACCTTCTTGGGCAACATGTTGGTCAGTGAAAAGGAACACCATTTTCTTTCTTTCTAAACCCAGTTTGTTGTAGAGGATCTTCAGATCTTCACGGAAACTGCTCTCATCATAACCTCTACTCAAAACAATTTCAAAGACTCCACAGCCAGCAGTGAAAGCAGCTAATTTAGTTAAACTTTGTTTACCACTGCCACCTGTATAAAATGAATAATTCCAGTAAGTATACTCACAAACACTGTAGATCTTGTGAACTAATCAGAGTTTGATGAGAATTGTTGTGACAATATACAAACCATAGGGTGTACTTGTATACAAACCATAAGGTGTATCATCTGAATGGTTATGTTATTATTACATTATTATTATTATTATTATTATTATTATTATGTAAACCAAAACAAATTTCTTTGTTATTTAACCATTTTGTCAATGATATAGTTGTAAAGAACAGAATTCAAATCTTATCATGAATTGGACCCTTTCTTGTGTTCTGAACATGAGCTTGGACATGTATGTGACATCACAAAAATTAAAAATATTTTTGAAAGGTTAGTTTCACCTTATTAATAAAGCACAAGATCCCTAAAAAGAGTAGAACAACATAATGTGTGGGTTTTGAGTGACAGTACCAGCAATGATGGCTGATAATATTGTAGCAGAACTTACCAACACCAACTAGCAAAGCATGTCCTTGATCCATACGAATTACTCTGTGTACTCTTGTTACATGCTCTAAAGCATCATCAAAAAGAACAAGATTCATAGCGGTGTTATTATCATTGTATTCTTCTAAAATCTGCAAAGTAAGAAAACAAAAATATTATGAATTTTCTGACTGCCAAAAATTATCATATCATTGATTGAATATTACATGACATGTCCTCATGCACTTAATTGAACAATTCACATCACATGAAGTGTTTTCTTTGAATATTTCTAAAATACAACAGAATGTGTGTTTAATATTTGTTTGTAAACATGGTGGTGAGAAGGGGTTAGTCTATAAGACAATTGATGAAACAGACACACAATTAAACTTTTAACAAAGTCAATCCATTAAAATTATAATTGTGAATCATTCTCCCTTTCTATACCGACATATGGATTCTGATAGTAAAGTTGGCAGTCTTATCACAGTAGTTTAATTTCAAACAAACACAGTTCGACCTTGTTTTGTCACCTATATTTGAAAAATATTTTGAGACTGAATGTTTGTACCACTAATTGCTGTTATATTTTATGTAATACCAGATGCCTCAGTATCATAATAAACCAATACTGTGTTTGATACTGAACTACACTTATGTGTCACTCTGTCATTCATAATTGCCTTTAGCTTGAGCAGTAACAACTCACCTCTTGAAATAAAGCTTTAGCCGCTTCATAATCTTGTATGTCTTCATAGAGTCTTGCTTCACCATCTTCAAGTGCATTGCGATAATCACCATACAAAACTGGGTTTTTCATAACTTCCTCTACGTGTTCCTTAAAATTCTCCTCTACAATAGATCTGATAAAACCCTACAAGACAATATTAACAAGCAATATTTATTATTAGTCAAAATCCAAACAGTCATGGATGTTTTGTCTTCAAAACCTAGATAATTGGAAGTGGATGGATGGTCATGAATAAAAAAAAATTGTACAAGGCTAACAAAATAATGATAATTTATAATAACACAGTAACATGTAAAAGAAAAATAACAGGAATTATTGAATAAACTTAAAACAATCAACTGCTTTTGTCTTCTATCTGAAATAAAACTGAAACATGGAGTTGGGAGAGGGTGGGAGAAAAAAATAAAATAAATAATGTCTATTAATGAGTGTTAAAAATGTATTTACCACAGCACCATGGCACCACACATGTGTGACATTTGTGTTGATAAACATTGATTTTCCCACAATCCAATGCACTCTTGTAATGGAAATCACAAGTATGAATTTTGACCTGGGCGCAACTTGTACTAATCACCACCGGTGACTACTTCGATAGCTTCCAATCACATAAAATCGCCATGTTTGTTTATATGCGACCCAGATATCGCGACAACTACCGCCCGTTAATGTAAGAACTGAAATCCTGGAATCAGACAATTTTATACTTATCTCAAACAGGATAAACTAGTCAAGGAAGGAACAATGTAGTAGTAAATACTCACAATGGGACTACTAACAATGTATTTTGATCATTTATAATTCTGCTGTTCAAAGACTATTTTCAATAGCATGCTTGTTTCACACGTATTGACAATCAAGAGATTGACAGGTGTACCAATATATGGTTTATCTTCTGCAACTTACCTCCACCTTTAGCTTGTCCTGTGTTGTTGAAATTTGAAATAATTAATATTTTTTTTATATTTATATATCGGTAATTGAAGGGCCACACAGTGCGATTCAATTTATTTGTGTACATAGCATGGGACCTGCATATCCAACACAACATGGTTATATATCGCAAACATTGTGCCAGTGACGAGTGATTCACACCAGATTCATACTAACTGGCATAGATGGAATGTTAATATCTGTACAATCAGTAATTGAAACAACTATCATCTGCATAGTGTGAAGTGGTACCATACTCAGTTTACAGTTTATCAGAAGCACAATATGACATTTGATTCTATTCAACCGGTATTCTAAACTCAAAGCAACATCTTTGAACATTATATTAAAGTCAGATAACAGCCTCTCTGTACATTGTCTATGTAGTTGGAGTTAATTCTCTGGTTTCTATGATACATACAGATTGAACAGCGTTTTAAACAATACATTTTTTTGTTATAGACTATATAATTATACGATTGTGTAAAATATGGTAATCACACTAGAGCAGTAAGAAAAACCTTCAATAATTCATAAAAGTTCAATGTGTTTTAGATAAAATCATGCAAGTTGTTTTTTCTTGTATGCCATTTAACACCCCAAGAAACATGCAGAACAAGCACGCCAATAATCAACTTAATTAATAAATAAATAAATAAATAATAATAAATTCCATCAGCAATTTCATACTTGTTGATTTTGAAAAAAATAATCATGAAACAATCAAAATACTGCTCATCTTGCACTACAACTCTTACCCAATTTATGTCCTTGCCCTGCAATCAATAAGTGGTCAAAATTGTTATTGGTTGTTTATCTTCAACTTCATCAGTGACTCTATTACCCTCAGAACAGATTAATCTTGCATAACATTTGCAAGGTAAGATGTTCGTAAATTGGAGTTTCACATATATGTGCAAAATTTCACAAATTCTGTATTCAAAATGACCACCATTTTGGGCTACATTTGCAATATTATCCATAATATATATATATTTGAAAATAAGTTATTATTTACGTAAATATTTTGTCGTTTTCCAAGTTGGTATAACTGATATTTTCTACTCTATATTTTGCATTGCAAGTTAATTTGGATGATAATAGTTCTGTATAGGCTTTGTGTGCTTATTTCACTAATACTAACTAATGTTCTTAATTTAAATCTATTGTAGCGGTATATACAAACAGCAAAAGAAAGTATTGTTTTCTTCACAAACCTAGACAATGTTCAAGCAATATCAAATGTGGTAAAATTTAACCAAGTTATTAAACCTATTTCTCTTTCAACAGTTTATCAGTTATTGATAAAAATAGAACCTAGTAAAGTTTAGAAAGATATCAAATGGGAAGCCAAAACAATCAGCAGAATTGTGAACCATCTTGACAGTTCCTGCAATGTTGCATATAATAAAAATAATCACAAAAACATCACTGAATCTAAAAGAACCATCTCAAAGTTCAATCATTAATTAACAAACTAAAAAATGAACAACCACAGCTGATGAGAATTTTAGAAAACAAAGATCTGGCGAAATTTGTTTGAAAAAAGAGTTAAATTCTATAAAGTCTATAGAGTCGAAAAAACATGGGCCTTTGAGTAGTATAACTGCACATGTAATTTACAAATCACTGTTAATTGATATGTTTTGTATTTTGCTCTGCAAAATGTACACATGCTAAGATGTTAATTTTAAATTGATTGACATCTGGTATTCATCTAAAGAACTCACCCTGGAATCATCATAGTCTTCTTCCTGGTTTATTCATTGGTAAGATAGTAAGTCATTAGTCACGATCATTGAATGTTAACACTTTGCCTGCTGACAACGTATTTTCCATTATCATTATACAACCATCAATTTAAAATGTACTTTCTCATGATTTCAAACTGAACAAATACATTTAGTACTGTACATATATTTGAGTTAATTTGCAGGTGTGTTCCGAACACTAAAGCAGCAAGCAACATTGCCAGCTTAGTTGCTGAGTGGTTTGCCATGGCATTTCAAGATTGTTAGATGATAAGAACAGGTTAGTTCAAACCACTTTTACAAGCGTGCACCATTCAGCTAAATGCATTATGATATTCACCAGATATACCATTAACTGTGTCCTGACATTTCACACTGTGTCAGTACATACATTTTGTTTGGATAACTTTGCCATTTATTATATACAAATTTATATGATTGAATAAAATAAATTGAAAGACAATAGCATCATAATTTTCTATTTATATTCAACATGGCCCAGTCCCCCACAATTAGTGTGATGTATCCTGTTGAGGTTGGTTTGACCCAACTTATTCTAATCATGTAACAATCTCCAGGTTTGCATAGCAAAGCAGTCTGCAACTTAGCTGGCAATGTTGCTGTTTTGGTGTTTGGAACAATATGGCAGTGACAGTTACCTTAAATTCATATGTCAAACTATGGTGGGATGAATAGATATTTGGAGGACAGATTTGATGTTTATAACATTAATGCAACCAGTTATAAACTAGAAAGTAAAATACTATATGACATTGAATCTCATGGATAGTCTATATTGGTATAAGTCAATGTATTATTGTAGTACAATAACTGCAGCTTGGTTCTCTGCACAATTATAGGCACAACCTATTAGCTGTGACTAGTGTTAGTGCAAACACTGAACTTTCAACTTGGAAATGGCAAGAGGAGATGTTCAAATGGGAATAGGTGTAACAAGTAAAATAATTGAAACTGCATAAAAAACCTACAAAAAAGAAAAGTAGAAATACACACAACACCATTTTGCAAAGTCCATGAATACAATGCAGACACTAAGACAAGGATAAATTCTTTGGGTCAAAACACAACTATGGCACTGTTACGGGTATTCAAACTTTACACTGAAGTCAGCAAAGGTTCGTATGTTAAAATTATTTTAAAAACCTAAATATTTATAAACTAATTGCAGTTATACGTTGAATGAACTTGTGCAGTGACTTGGAAGGTTCTAGTTTGTGTCTAATTGATGTGCAAATGTCACCTGTCATGTTTGGCTTTGAATGAGGCCAAGAGCTATTGGTTTTATAAATTTGTATAGCTATGTTTATATGTACAACATGCTTTTGCTGACTTCAGTGTATACACACTTAATATAAATGAAGGGAGGTATACTTACATCAACAACATTTTTATCTTTATCACTGATCAACCTATCATAGAAGACTCTCATACATTCATTACGCCACACTCTAACAAATGATTGTTTACTTTCAAATCGGTCCGGAGTTGTTAACAACATGCCTTGAGTTACACGAGACAAGTCACGCAGGTTGAAGATATAATGGAACTTGGAAGGTGTTGGGGGCAATTCAATGATGATTCGGTTATAGAGCTCAAGGGTAGACATCATAATTTTCTCTGATATTTCCTGAATACATTCATCAAATGGCTGAGTATGGCCTTTCAAAATTGAGCCATAAATTAGTTTCAGTGATTCCTCCGATGGGAATGTGATGTTGAAGCAGGAGAAGAGTGAAATAAAGCGAGGATCCACCTCATTACGGCCTCCACCAGGTTTACCCATAGATGCCAAGAAACCAATATCTTTGATGTATTTGAATGACAAGTCTTTGCTTCTGTCATACATGCCTCCTTTCTCCAACAGTAACTTTAGTAAAGCAATTGGCTGTTGGGTACCATACTCATCAACCTAGGAAAATAACATAACATTGTTAAACAACAGGTGTATTTTATAAGAGTGGTGTTCTTTGTTATTCGTTCATAAAATTTATTGATTTACACATCCAATAAATGATTGATAATCAAATACACATTTTATATAATTTCTAGACAGCAGCACAATATTTTCATCTGTTGACAAAAGAAAGAGCACCAGATACTGCTTTAATACTTACTTGTGGCATGTTCATATCATCCATAAACACTAATAGTCTCTTTCCTGGTGGGGGACCATAAGTGTCTTTGGTTCTCTTTTCCACATTAGCTTCCAAGTTACGTTGTAGATCCATAGATGTAGTACGGGAAGAGAAGTTGATGTTCAGAATCAGCTGCAAACAGAAAAAAATTCTTTACTTGATCATCACATACATTTTTTTAAATCTATTTTAGTATAAGGCAATTATAAGTCCAAATATATCTTCACGTTTTTAGGAGTTATTTTAAAAGAGAATAAAACAACTACTATAAATGCATTAATTATTTGCTAGTTTTTAATTCCATTATTTTTCCAATAAATAAAATTCGCTAAATAAATTCCATATTAACATGTAAAATAACAATAGAATTTGTTGTTTCACTGCCAAGTTTGTAAAAATGCAATGAAATTGTTGAAAGCATCAAAATAGTGAAATTAATGTAAATATGTTACAGTATAACATCGTTATATTTTTGTGATATTTTGTATCACATACAGATCATCACTACCAACATAAGCAAAGTTTAGTTCAAATTCAAAATGCATAAATACTTACATGAGATTCTTGGTCAATCTTCCTCAGGAAGTCTTGGATTGTAGCTGTTTTAGAAGTACCAGTCTCACCAATAAATAAAACTGGTCTTCTGATACGAATCTGTTGTTCCAATAACCATGTGTTTCTGGTAGTATCAATGGTAGGAACCAAAATCTCATTGTATTTCTTTTCGGGGTCATGTATATATTGAGCCACTAGCATACTCCATGGTTTCCATTTCAATTCATCAGGATCAAAGAAGTACTCGTACAATGTTGCATGGGAGCTTGGAAGCTCACCAGGACCAGCAAGGGTTTTTTCATCATCCGAGACTGCTGACATGGATGCCAGATACTTGATGAAACCATCAAATTTGATGCGTCCATCTTCAAGTAAGCATGCCCCTAGTGACCAGTAGAGTGCTTGTAGGAAGATACACTCCAATACATCTGATTCTCCAAATTCCTTAGTCAGAAGTGAGTCAAGCATATAACTAAGCTGAGTCACCTGTATAAAAGCAAAAAGTAAAATAATATTAATTTCAGAATAGAATAGAACAGAACAGAACAGAATAAACCTTTACAGGGTCACACATAATATGACCTATTTAAAACCAAATTGGTATTTCTGAATTTCAGAGATGACTTACCAAATTGAGATTGGTGAGTGGAATAATAGTTTTCATCCTCTGTCCTTGTCTTCCATCCACAATACCTTCAATTATCATATCAATACTGGCTGGTACGTATTTTTCAAAAAACCTATCAAGATCTTGTTGTTCATTTTTACTCTGTCTAGCACTGATCCATTTTTGCCAGTATGGCCTGTATCCCAAGTTCTTTGGATCCACATACACCATACCACAACGTGACACTGTGGCTGGAGAAGCATACTGTAAATCAGCCACCTAGAGAATGAGACAAAAGATAACCATTGGTTATTTGTTAATCACAGGCAGAAATACAGTATACCAAATATATTAAAAATGCATTGTCCTCACCTCAAAGAGCATAGCACAGTGTTTCTGCAAACGAATACGTTCACCATTGGCTAAAGTCAGCAGTTTGTTATCATCCATGACAGAGTTCATGTTTTCCACCCAGAGGGCATCCACATCTCCATCAAACAAGATGTATTTCCTTTCATTCTTGTCTGTAGGTTTGTTGATGTCACGGAAGATGTTAGACAGAAGACCATCTGTCCAATCACGAGTCATTGGATCAAGGATACCATACAGTTCAATGACAGACATAGCTTTAGGATTCAAGATGTACAATTTAGTAAGAAGTCCGAGTCTGAAAAACAAAAAAATTATAACAAAATTTTAATAACTACTGTAATTATAAAATATTGCACATGAAAAATGAGCAAATAACTAAATATGCTTGTATAGCTGGTTTCAAGTATATATCCTAAAAAAATAATTGGAAAAGTACAAGGCCCCCAGCACTATATGAACATCACACAGCGTACAAATACAATCATATAATAGAATGTTAGCTGAAAAGTACATGAGAGAAAAATTTGACACAAGTAGTGAAAGACTAAAACAGTGTCTTACCTTGTCTGCGCCTGTGATAATCCATTAATAACGACAGATTTGCCACCACCAGTTGGCCCAACAACCATAGTGGTATGCCTGGTCAACATTGTTTCATATAACTGTACAACTTTGTCAACCTATTGAAAAAACAGACAAAGTCATTCAACTTGATGGTTGTATTCAAATTATGATACAGGAGGTAAACTTTCTCACTTTACTGATTTATAACAACAAGAAATCAATGAACTATAAAATGCAGAATTACGGAGAGTAAAAACAGTCTTTACTGAATATTATTCTCAGGTCCTTTCCATGACAACTCTCTCATCACCTTTGGTATTTTGTATGCATTGGTTTTGCTACATGTGGGGTCAACAACAGCATGTTTTCAAGGTCAAATTTTCTAAAAATGCTATAGACTGATTAAAATTGTGAATATTTTATTATTTTGAAGGGAATCAAGGCATTCAGGTAGGGTATTCTAAGGCAATCACCTCTATGGCTTCCATGATTTTCAGCCCTGTATAGGTGCTAACAATCTAAATAAGCTCACCTGTTGGGGTAGCATAACATAGTTGTTATCTAGAAGACCCTGTTCCACTGCATCATTGAAGTTAGGATACCGTACACGAGGCACATCCAAGCCTGGGAACAAATCTGATATCAAGCCCAAGAACAAAGGCACATCCTCATAGACAAATTTAGGTAGATTCATATCTCTCAGTGCTCTCATAAGTACCACATCCTGAAAAAGAAGAAGGGCAGAAAAAAGATGAGATGCTGAGGGAAAACAGTGCTATCAATTTATCAATAGTGAAGTTTATTCTGCATTTTTACCTACCTCAGGTAACTCAGCTGAGCTTCTCTTAAGCTCACCAGCCATTACCAATACAGATTTCAAAGCACGAAGACCAAAGTCATAATGATGTTGTTTAGACAGTTGTTCTTTTGCTAACTTGTACAGTACTGTCATCTTCTTGGCCAAAACCTATTCATGAAAAAAAAAGACATGTTATTGTTTTGATTTCACAGTGGTAAATGGGATTGTTCACAATAATATTGTCAATCCACAACATGCAGGAACATCCGTTTATAATCAAGAAACAGATTACAAAGTAAGGACTGTCTGTAAAATTTTATGTCATGGCAAATGTGTTAACTCAAAAAATGTCTTAGTTTGTTCATGTCGTTTCAGAACTACTGTACAGTCATTTATCTTTTCACAAGAAGACTGGAAAAAAATGAACTCACCTTGGCTAGAAGGAAACCCTCTGAGAACAACATGATTTCACAGATCTGTTGCAAATCTGGTACAATTACTACAACAGGTCTAAATAGAGCTTTCACACTCTCTGGTAACTCAGTACGACCAGCATAACCAGGATTCATGGTGATAAAAATACCCATACGATCATCCATAGCAATCTCACTTCCTTCAAACTAATCAAATAATATAGAAAGATAGCTCAGATATAATAGCAATCAATTTGAAGTGATCTGTAAGATCCAATCTAGTTTCAAATAATATAACCATGCAAACTTAAAAAACAATAACAATGAGTTATAATATAACCTACAAGTCATTGAAAATGACACAGTCCCCGTTAAATGTTTGAAAGTTCTCTTTGTGCTCGTCATATTAAAGCGGAGGGGTTGTCGCAAGCGTGTCCTTAAAACTTGAGTTCCAAGTGGCGTATACAACAGATTGTTTATTTACATCAAAACACGTGTTCCGTGTAGTAGTAATATGGCCCCAAAAAAAAAAATTATTCGGCCATATTTGATCTGATTATGAAACACACTGATATGTACATGTATATGATGTATGTGCCAAATTCGAATGAAAATGGTACATAAATTGTGGAAATATAGTAGTAAGGCCAAAAAGTCAGGTGGCTGCCATCCTTGACTAGATTTTGAAACAAATTGTCATGGACATGCTTCCTAACATGTATAACGTACATGTATGTGCCAAATTTGAATGAAAACTGACAGAGCACATCCAAGATACTGCATAAAATCTTTGATCCAATTGCGAAATAAATCGTCATGGACATGTATCCTAACATGAATAATCTATGTACCAAGTTTAAATGACAACTGACAAAGCATGTCCAAAATACAACATTTTACAAAAAACAAGATGGCTGCCAGTCGGCCATTTTGAATCGAATCTCTAAACCACTGCATGTGCATATGTCCCACATAAGGTACTAGGTACATGCAAAGAATGAACGGAATCAGTCCACAGGATTCTGAAATATGACTCTGGACAGACTGACGCACGCACGGACGGACGGACGAACACACGGACACACGGACGCACGGACGGACAGAGACCGAATTATAAATCCCCGTTTTCGGACTTCGTTCCAACGGGGACTAAAAACCAGATATCCGCCTAAAAGGTTGATTACAAAAGAAAACAATTTCACATAGTTGGAGAAGAAAGCTATGACCTATTTGAGTGTGTCAATTGAAAGTGGTGTGGTTAGTATAATGGTATATTGCATCAGTAGACAGACACACGGACAGTTGGAAGTCATGTATCCTAACATGTATAATATATGTACCAAGTTTGAATGAAAACTGACAAAGCATATCCAAAATACGACATTTTCAAAAAACAAGATGGCTGCAAGTCGGCCATTTTGAATCAAATCGCTAAACCACTGCATGTGCATATGTCCCACATAAAGTACTAGGCACATGCAAAGAATGAACGGAATCGGTCCAAGGGATTCTGAGATATGACTCCGGACTGACGCATGGACACACGGACGCACGGACGGACAGAGACCGAATTATAATATAAGTCCCCATTTTCGGACTTTGTCCGAACGGGGACTAAAAACCAGATATCCACCTAAAAGGTTGATTACAAAAGAAAACAATTTCACATAGTTGGAGAAGAAAGCAATGACCTATTTGAGTGTGTCAATTGAAAGTGGTGTGGTTAGTATGATGGTATATTGCATCAGTAGAGAGAAGTTACAGTTTTTACTTTTTTGCTGTACTGTCTTTGTGCATACTTTACGACATCCTTGTAATAAGTTTGTATAATAAAACTTACCTGGAATTTCTTGAGGTGATGGATAAGTGCATTCCTGATGGTTTGGATTTGTGATGAAATAACTGAGAGTACAGAGACATCGATACGATTGAACTCATCAAAACAACCCCAGGCACCACACTGACAGAGACCTGAAAAGATCTTACCAACCGCCTATGAAGGATAATGCACATGTAATGGTTAGTAATGAATTTACGTCATATATATCCTATTGTATTTAATTCCTTGTCTTTTGACCAAGTATAGTTACTTACTTTGTAATCCATACCCTCACCACAGTTGGTCACCACACATAGAAGACCCAGTGCTTTGGCTAAATCTTTAGTTGTTTCAGTTTTCCCAGTACCAGCAGGTCCAGCTGGAGCCCCACCAAGTTGCATAGATAATGCCTACAGGATATTAAACACAAAAGTGTTTTACAACTAAAATTGATGTTAATCCAAGCTTTGCATTCTTTTGCCATGCTTTCACAAAGTTGTTGCACTCCCTTGTGTTAAAGCTCATAGCAGTACATGAACAAACACTGAAAGCATCAATTCGTGTGACGTAGATATGTTCCTAATCAAAGTGTCATTTACAGTAACATAGGTGTGGATACACCACATTACAAGATACATGAACCACACTAGAAATCTGCTGACCTGTGTGAGTGTGAGATAGATTCTATCAGTGAGTGGAGTAATAACCAGTCTACCATTAAGACCCATGTATTCATAACCATATCCAAATGTACCAGTGCACTGTCTAACATTCAGTTCATCTGGTTCCTTGTCCCAGTAAAATCTTAGCTGACTCTCCCATTCAAATTCACGGTAATCCATAATACTGTAATTTCAAGCAGAAATTCATAATATCAAATTTTTGTTTGCTTTGACAAATCATACTCTACACAATCTATAAACAAATGAATATATTTACCTGTCTCTGACAAAGCCATCAATAATATCTCTTGCATGTACATCAATAATCAGTACTGTATTGAACTTTGAACGATCATTCTTAGACAATGGTGAACGCACCTACACAACAGATAAATTATTGAAATGTTAGACAATGAAAATCACAATTTTTTTCAGTACTGAGCGTGTTACTAATATCCTCAAAATTACAAGATTCAGAAAGTGGTGCAAGTTCTTGATATTTGATCTCTTGACCAATTTTTTTAGGCCATACCACTAGTAAAATTTCTTGATATAAAGAAATACTTTCACCACAGACACAATGCATAAACAAGGATAAAGTGAAAATTTGTCATTTTTTAAAGAAATTTCAGACTCTAGTCTAGTTTGTGACACCAACATTTTTTTTTTTTTACATTTTTCGGTATTCCAAAGAGCATAATTTCAATTTAGTAAAGTATGAGTGTAGATAAGTACTGTGCAGTAAAAATATTGCTTTCTCCAAGTACAAAATTTACAAATATTAGGCAATACCTACAATCTAATCATTTTATAGAATTATATACTTTTCTCAACAACAACAAAACTTTTAAACATTGGATAAAATAATGATTAAAACAAAGCAAGCAGTACAGAAAGTGTTAACTGGAATATTTTGAATTTATTACTGACTTTACCTGAACTACAAGTGAGTCAATCTGCTTGTGCATCTTCTTAGCATAGTTCTTCATTGCACCTTTGTCACCTTTCTTAAATTTCATGAAGACATCCTCAACTTCCCAAGTCCACCATACTTGATTGCCAGCTAATACAACCATACCTTGGTATAAATACATCCATTCCACTCTGATACAAGAAAACACGGCATAGTTTTACTATCTTGTCAGTTGTGAAATTGTAATTTTACAATAATAATAAAAAGTAACAGCAATGATCAGATAAGAATTGTTTGAAATATATTGTAACCACAAGAAAACAAGATTACAAACTTACAGTGATCACAAGCCAAAATGTAGGTGTTCATTATTTCTTTAAAAATAATGTACCCAGTATATTACCCGGCCAATTTTTGCAATAACTAGAATTTTGAAAGACACTCCTAGCTACAATAAACTTGTTGTAGTATCAAGAATGCATGGTGTTGTAAAACTATTATATAACACACCTTGTGACACCATCAGCACAATATTTAAAGATAGCTTCCTTTGTTATTAATCTGTTTGTGCGTCTCATTTCATGCAGCACATTGGTCATCCAGTCTTCCACTCTACCTTCAGCTGGTATTTTCTGTCGGAATTCCATCACTTCACCCTCTGCAGAAATCATAGCGGCAGCATTCAGCTCACTAGAACTACTGGTTTCTTCAAATCTCAAAGAAGCAATGTTATCATACATCTAGAAACAGGAAAAACACAGTTAAAGTTTATGTATGTTCCTCTTTGTGGGTGCAGTCTTCAAGAAAAAAGATGCTTGATCAAGCTGAATACATCTAGTACATTTTTTAGTGTTAAAGTATGACCAACAAACTCACTGAATTTTGTACCCATGTTTAAAGCTCTAATACAAATTTGTTTATACAACAATGTACAACAAACACAACAAAAATAAATCAATATCATTTCAAGTCAAATACAAACAGAATATTCTGAAGCCAGGAAATTGTTACCTTAATTATGTGTTCTTGTACACATGTTGGATCACTGCTACCTAGAATAGACAGCAGTTCATCATCTGAGATAAAGAAGAATCGGGGGAATGCATTACGTTTGGAATCCAAGTAATCATTCAAACTTTTCTGACATTTCTCTAATCCTAGACTAATACTCTCAAGGTCCTGTAGACGATTTTCAACATGGCAGGAATCTTTGATTTTGGGATTCTTTTGGGTATCTTGCATAATCTGAAAAAAAATAAAAATAAAAATTCATCAGTACTTGGATTGATGTAGCTGTTCATTGGAAGTTGGATCTCTGTCAGTCTGTATGACAGACACCAGAACATCATAAACTATTCTTATTACCATTTCAGCAAAATATAGAAGAAGCATGTTACACCCAAGTAATGATAGAGTTCAATGCACTTGGCAGATGCTCTGCTATCAAAATAACCTACCTTTTTGAACATTTTATCAATACCATCAAATTTCTTTGCTTCTTCAGGCAGCTGTGATCTAATATCACCACCAATGAAGATACTTTCAAGATACATCCATTTACGTTGTACTACCATCCAGATCTATAATCAGAAAAAAAAACAATTGGCAATTACTACAATGATAGTCTGAGAATGAGCTAAAAAACATTATATGGTGAACAGGATGAGTGGAGAGCTTCTTAATGTTTGCAAATACAAAAACATTCTCTAAAATTATAATCCAATACTACAACACTTAACTAAAGTAAGCCACTATACATGTATAAATCAATACTGATTCTGATGTCAACATATATAATACATACCTCCAAAACTTCAGCAATAAGGGACAAACTTTTTTCCCAATTTTGTACATTGGCAAGAAAAGGACCAATGAACCTAGATGCAGACATAGACTGAAGATTCATAGCATTGTCATCTAATATTTGCAACACTTCATCCACAGATCCCAGGATAAACCCTCTTTCCTGAGTTCCTTTCATGTATTTCTGCACCTGGAATTTCATTCCGTCCCACGTGTCCTGTACTTCTTTGATTCCCTGTGTGAATAAATACAATTATTATGCAGATCAATCATGTAGGAATGTTCACACATAAAAGAAGCAACAATGAACAAGCCAAACAAGAGTACTGTTGAATAATCTAAACCAGTCTAAAGAGACTAACATAATTTAATATTATCCAACTTCTTTACATTTTTACTCCACAAATATGTTAATAATGTGTGTCATCTTGAAGTAAATTCTCAAGATCTACCAAGACCCAGTTAAGTGTTTTTGCCAAAAAATATATTTACTTATTAACAAGCACAACAAGTTGAAACTGTGTATATTACCTTTTCAATACTTAATTCTTTGGATGCGCTGTTGACAATCTCACCAATGGACTCAGCATAGTTGTGTAATTCCATAGCAAATAATTTCTCTAATGTCAGTGTTTCTGGATTCATATCAAAGTCTTTACCAGTCTTTGTCATCAGGTCCTTCCAATGGCTATGAAGAAACAAAAGCATTACTGGGGTATCAAATCAAATCAAATTTTTCCCAATCATGGAGGCTTTCAGCATTCAATGTGTTAAAAACATATACTGGGTATGATAGGTAGTTGCATTTATGTTTGCCCATAGACATGTAGAAACTGCATTTAGAAACTAACAACCTGGCTAATTAAATACTTACCGCTCACGGAGAGCCTCATGTTTGAGATCAAGCAATAATGGCAGTGAATCTTTGAATTCTCTTAGTTTTGAGTCTAAGAAATGTGCAGATGGTGTAGTTTTAAATTCTCTTGGCAGTTTCTTGAGCTGTTTAATGAAGCCGTCGATACCATCTTGTAGTTGATTTACATTCAGATTTGCCCACAATGTCTGGGCCCATTCCTCTCTGGCAGCCTGTAATTAGTGATAATGATACAATCATACTATTACATTCTGCCAATCTATGTGATAATTTTTGTATTTGTCTGGTACTGCACATTTTGAAAATGAACTAGTAGGTAAGAAGAGATTTAAATACAGATGCAGTGAGACAAAAATTAAAACCATCGTGAAAGGTACATTCAATATATTAGACAAAACAGTCCCAATTAGTCCATATACTCACCTTTTGTTGTTTATAAATACTATAAATAGATTCTAGTCCTTTCATTTCTTTCTGAACGGCTAGCAAGTCAGGATACATAGTGATTGGAAGATCAAATAATCTCTCTGCATTGGCTAGTTCCTGTCTATCTGCCTCGTAGTCATCAAGCTCCTTCTGATAAATAGTAAGAAGTTCAAGTCCTGTAAAAAAATATATATTGAAATTGTTACTTGAAATTTAGTATCATGTGACATTCAATAGACAAATTTTGGATTCTCTGGTTGCAGTATTAGGCAAATATTTCACTATTGCAGATTCAGTTTTGTTTTGAACATGTTGATTCTCTCTTGTAGTCATCCATGTTACCTTTGAAATTTTATGAACATTCCATAAAAAATAAAGAAACAAGTTTACAATTTATACACACACAAGAAAAATTGACATAATATAATTTATATCATTTTGGTGTCCATGGTAAATAGCCATATAATGACTTTCAGCTTTTGAAAACTGAGACAAATGGGCTAGATGACCTGTTGTAAAATCTGTTCTGTCTATTGCAGCTTCTGGTGAATCCACACACCAAGAAATGCTGCTTAATATTTTGTAAGATGTTTACACATTTTGATTAAGTGTTTACCAAAATTCATATTTTTCATTAAAGCCACCTTTAAATCTGACAGGAGAAATAGGAGGAAAGATAAGTTTCAAAATATAGCTGAAGAGATACGCACCTTTATCCAGGTCTGCACCACAAGCTCCAGGACCTTCAAGTTTAAATTTTTCTTGAAATGTAGACAGTTCAGTTCCAAAACCTTTGATTTGATCAAGAGTGATCTATAACAGAAAATTCAAATTAATCTAACATAGAGATTGTTTGTCTTTGTCACAACTGTGCAATATAGTTGGAAGCGAGACATAATACACCCAAGAAACCTGTCAAATTATTGATATATAGTAAATATTCAATATACCGATTACTGTCAAAAGAGACATAATGTCAGCTAAGTTGTTGTTTGGTTTGATATGAGCATCTAAAGATTGTTTAGAATAAGTTTGTCCAAACCAACCTAAACAGTAGATGTCAAACTAATAGTGGGGGATTCAGACACGTTGAATATAAACAGAAGATCACAAAGCAATTGTCTTTGAATTTATTTATTTCAATCATAAAAATTGCTATATGATATTGTCTAAGTTATCAAACAAAATGAATATCAGGACACAATCACTGATGTTTCTAGTGCATATCTTTAGGCTCATAAAGCAGGACTCACCATGGTAAAAATGTTTTAACAGTGTAACAATTTCATGACACACCAGTTAGCAACTTAACGAACAATGATGCTGTTTTGGTGTAACAGCAATATTGGCTTCAAGCTACAGAAACTGATATTGAGGGATCAAATTTGAGGTCTGTCCAATTTTAGCTGGGACAGATGACTTGTGAGCAAATGAATAAAGATAACAAATCATGTTATTACGTTTACTACATTGCTTTTATAGAATACAGGCAAATTTTAATTTAACCCCCGGATATTATAGATAAGTTGTGCCCAAGGGAATGATGGGCCTAATTCTTCTGATGGTATTGGCTTGTGCAAGTATCATTGAACCACAAAATACCTTAGATGTACCAGTACCTACTCTAGATCCAGTAGGTGCAGGCATAGGTATTTTAAGAAATGACATTACTGACAACTAAATAAATCCTAGTTTACCTCTGTGAATTTTTTCTTGACTACAATGAGGCTGGCATCCACATGTTTTGACTCCATAAAAAGATCTTCCCATTTCTGTCTAATATTGTTGGTGAGTGTGTTCTCTTCTTCTGTCACTTCTATATTATACATGGCCAGTGTTCTATACCGCTCCTTAATGTCAGTAATTCTCAGTTCAACTTTGAGTGACATGTCCTTGATATCTGCAATAACCCTCAGCACAAACTTCAGATCTTCCAATGTGTCGGGTGACTTCTTTAAGTCTTGTGATAATTGCTAAGAAAGTGAAAACAAATCCATTTTAGAAAATCAGAAATTAAAAAAAAAAAATAGTAGAACACCTTGCAGACTGTCAAGCAAATCAGCCAGATAATCAAATCACAAAATAAAGCATGCTAAATAATGTGAATATCTTAAGCCTAGTACTGAAAATAAATAATTTTTTCAAATAGGAAAAAGGCTGAATGCAAACAGGAAGGGATGTCACACAACACTTTGAATGTTCACACCCTGTGTTTTGTGTTTGGTCACCTTGACTGCGGCAGGTGTCGTTTGAGGAGGTAGGGTATCCTTGACATTTGTTTCCAACTCCTTTGAATATTAGCAATTACGCAGAGATAAAAGAGAAATGTTAAAAGATCGGATGAAAATGTTTTGAACATATTAGTAAGAAAAAACTAATACATCTCTGTTTGACCTTAGTATTATAATGATATCTCACAGAAATAGTCAAATAATGAAGGCTGATGAGTTGAGTGATACAAAGTGAATCTGAATTATCTCCAGACAGAATTTATCTCATGAAATGACAATGAATTGAAGCAATGATATTAACAATGGACTGTCTGTTGGACTGAAGAAATGAGGAAAAAGCTCTTATGTTAGAACATATACTGGTAACACATTATATAAAAAAATGTTTAACTTCATATACCTCTAATTCAGATTTAAGACTGAATAGTTCTTCTTTAGCGGAATCATTAAGTAATTGTCCCAGTGATTCTACCCATTTCTGTGCATGTTCCTGTACAGTCTTTGCTAACGGTGATAGATGTAAACGAACACACTCTTGATCTTTGATCATTTGTTGGTTACCAACCTGAAATAAATATTAAATAATAATTAAATACTTGAGTACATTTGATATTAAATAATGATTGCAATATAAATTTTACATAGTCAGGTCACCTGCATATGAGATTGCTGTCTTTGGAATTCAATTTAGTTCAAAAATACAAAGACAATACTCTAAAACCATTTATTTTCACTGGCATTTAATTTCACTATTTTGATGCTCTAAGCAATTTCAATGGGTTTAAGTTCATAAATTTGGCAGGGAAACAATGAGTTTATTTATATGTTCACATAGATTTAATTTAGCGGATTTTACTTATCAGTGAAAATGACAGAATTAAAAACCAGTGATTAATTAATGCTTTTACAGTATCTGTGCTACCATCTACTGCTGAAGGAACATCATGAACTTATTTCACACCTATTGATTATTATTTCAGCAGTGAAGAGGTACTGGTACATTAACATTATTCTTACAGCTAAGAGTATATCAACTACTGAAGTCATAGGGAATACTGTAAATGCAACAAACCTCTTCAAAGTTCTGCGTAAAGTAAGACCAAATTCATTTTATTTACCTCTTTGGCAAGATTACTGTAGAACTGTAGTTTCTCATCATAAGACACACATGATGGTTTTTTAACTGCAAACTTCTCTAGCATAATTGTCTTGTCTAGTTTCCAAAGTGGCCTGTATCTCTTCCATCGGTTAAGGTACTTGGTGAGAGTGGACAATGTCTTTTGTATGTTACTAGAGATACCTACGACTAGGTCTACAATTGATGGATCAGCAGAAATATCGCTGAAGAATGTGAAGAGAATAGGTTCGTCCTCGCCTTCCACATTCTGTGGTAATGTTTCAATACATGTACCATTCATCCATCGGATAAAATTCTTAGTTCTGTAGAACAGAAACACAATGTAAAAGTTCTTCAAAATTCATTTACAAGAAGTTGTTCACCTTCACTTGTGATTCCAATATTTTCCAAGTCAACTTTCTTATACACATGTATGAGAAAATGTTATGCTACCAATGAAAGGGTCATTCCCTAAAACATCTTGCTATTTACATTTGTACAGTAGTTACTGAGGACAAAGATTACTAAATATTTTCTATGATACTTTATTATGAACTGGGGTAAACACATCGTAATTTAGAGTTTTATGTTGACAATATGCAATTGAAAATAATTGAGCTCCCAACATTATGAAAAAATTTCGTAGATGTGGATTTTTCAAATTTGATCAATTAGAAGTACATACAAACCAAATGTATTGTATGCTGAAACATTAAAATATGAATTTATGACACCTCTGCCATTTACGTAAGCACATACACTTTTCATACAGAAAATTCAGTATCTGATTACGTATTGTATTTCTAAATACGATATAGGACTATTATATGGTTAGCATTTCATAACTTACCCTTCCACACAGTCTCTAACACATTGCATAGATAACTTGTATATTTCATTAGCTGCCGGTGACAAGATGAGTTCTGGTGATGTCAACATTGCCTCTATTTGGAATAAGGGTTTCTCTGATGTTATGGCATCATTAAAGATACTAAGATTTCTAGTTATGAGCTGTAATACAGAGAATATGTATGCATTAATATTTTTTCAACAGTAATCATACATCTATATGCACCTAGATGTCAGTATGCAAAAATGATTGAAATCTGGAAATTGAGGCAGAAACTATTAAATGTGTTGAAGATATCGTTGACATCAACCTGAAGTCATACTCTCAAGCCAAATACACGGTAACAACTCAGTCCACAGCCTCCTAGTTGAAGTTATTGTATGTTGCATTAAGTTTGCATAGTGTCTTATAACTGTAGGATTGCTTACCTTTGTGAGTGATTCATAGACTCTTCTCTCCCAGTATGAATAATATGAAGCTAGTCTTGGTGATTTGCCAGTGTTGGTATGAACCACTAAACCTTCCATTTTAGTTAATAAGGGACCAATAGCACGGTACTTCCTAGCTAATAATTCAAATGTGTGAGCTCTTTCTTTTTCTATATGCTCAAAGAATTCCTGGATCAGAAGATGCAAAAGAAAAAAGCTTATATCTGGTTTTGTATTTTCTCTATTAGAAGTGTATGTAAACTAACATTTGCAGTTACTGGATCTTTAAAATACGTAAGTGCATGTTCTACTAATTGAGCAAATACTACCGGTACATACAAACAATGATTAAAGGATGTACCCGGTATATGTTAGTGCATTGACTGACTTGTAGTGGAGGTAAAATGCAGTACTGTTCGAGTGCAAACTTTGCAATAATCTTGTATTATACATCATTAAATTGATCTGAATCTCTTTTTGTGACGTATTTTGGCAATATAATAAAGTTTAGACCAGTTTTGAAATTTTATAAACAAATACTATAGGCCTTGTTGCAATGGAGTAAATCTGTAAAGACAGATTTACATGTAGTGTATCAGACAAAATATCATAATTCAAAACCTTTGGTAGACCATACCTTAGCACTTGGCAGCACATCTGTAAACTTGACTGATGGTCCTCTGAATAAATCAGCATTATTCATCACTATTAATCTCTGATCAATGTCTGCGGCATTCTTCTGAATCTGATTCACAAGTGACTCAAACTTTCCTAATGCCTAGATTAGCAGAAAAATAACACTATATAGTTATAACAAGTCACACCAATAATATGAGGTTACCGCAAAGTATGCACAACGACAGTACAGCAGGAGTATAGACCTACGCACAGCAGATGTTGATGCAATAATATACTGTCTGAGTGCATACTTTGCGGTATCCTCTTAATAACCTTATTATTACATCTTTTCCTGCTAAGGATACATCATGGGAATGCCGAAATCCAAAAAGTTTAGATCAGATTTAGTGAACTTCTTTGCGTGGAGTCCGGTCAAACCCTGGAGGCTTCCATGTTTTTATTGTTAGAGGACACTTATGCAATCGTTGCATATACCCAGTGCATTACAGCAAAATTGCGGCATGTTGTAACTTATGGCATTACAGTGACAGATGTATAATAATATGTAATATGTCTAGAAAAGAAGGATAAAACAGCAACTGTCACATAGAGTGTTTTACACTCTTCCGTTCCACATGCACTTACCACCCTGTACCAGCTGGTTCTACAAAGGTCTCAAGGAACTCTGGTATGCAACGGACAGACATTGTAAACTAAGTGTATATAATGTTCAATACAATTATCAGTCCTCTACAGAAGTAGTATTTTATAGAGATGCTTTTGCAAAAAATAAAAGAGTTGACTCATCAGGATTTATATATAGTAGAGACTAGAATAAAAAATCTTCACCTATTTTTGTCATCAGCATTTGATATATACAGTAACATAGTTATTCATGTTATGTTTTATTTTTACTTGAAGTACTCAGCTGAGTTACAATTTTCTCCCATAAATGTTTTCAACTTGTTCTGAACAAATAATCATATTATTAAGTTAGTGAGAATACATACTGGAACCATTATCATAGATATTTGACCCATTTTTACTGGCAATTTTTTGTGATCAACAGCATAAAACAAAACCATATCAAGGACCTAAGCTACATGTACAATCAGAGAATGATAAGAAAATGCTATATTGATATTAATGTCCCACCTCTCAGTTTAATTTTCATCCTGAACATTGGATTGGCCCTAAAATCAGGCATGTTCAATATTATAAGTGTACTCTGTTAGTTGGTTTCAGAATGACAGTAAAAAGTATATAGGAATTTAATTTATAAATTTGTATAGGCAATTTGTAAGGCTTTCGGAAAGCAAATTGTTAACCTTTTGAGTGCTGAACTCCACTTTTGTCACCTTCCACACAAAAAAAAAAAACATTTAATTTTCTTCAGATTTAAAAAAAAATATAGGAAATTATGTTCATTTTGTCTAAAAGTGAAATGAAATTAGAGAGAAAATACATAAAAACATGCAAAAAAAAAATTGGGGGAAGAAATATTATGGCAGTCAAAGGGTTAAAGCGTTATTGGAGCCTAGTGGTTTTGTCAAGTTTTGATTAAAGCCCTGTAGTAAGAAGAGTTACTAAAGAATCAGATGACTGATAATCCTTTATTTTATTATATACCATATCTCAGCTCACTTTGAGAGTTGCTTATCAACAAACCTGTTCACATCTGCCAATATAATCACTGATACCCAAAGAGTTCCAATTGAGACGCTTATAGCCAGGTTTCATTGTGCGACGTAGATCCCGAGTGTGTTCTTCCAGCACCTGGGTCTGTAAAATATAAAAACACAATCAGAAAAATATAGGAACTAAGAATGCTTTGACATAAAGCCACCAAAGAAAGACAGTTGTACATTACGGCAGCTAAGACACTTAAAAAGGTGTGTTTCCTACTCACCTCTGCTTGGTTGAGAGAAGCAATAACAGTATGATACTTGTTTAACATGTGTTTCAGCCCATCATTGTATTTGATATATTTGTCTTCCTATAATATTAAAATAAGGTTTGTTATTTAAAACAAAACAAAATAAGACTCCCTACTTTGGAATCCATGTTAAAACTATTATTTCGTAAAATATAGTAATCTTGTTTCTAAAAACATCATACTAATTCTTGGCAACCATATGTATCCATCTTATAACTACATATGACATTTTCACAATCAAGAAATTGTCATTTTCATGATTAATCAGTTATCACACTTTTTTATCTTGGCTTATTAAAATCACATTATGAAAGTCAAAGAAAACTGTTCAGTTAACTATAACAACATTATCACTCATAACTAACCTGTAGGGCCACATTTCTTGCTAGTTCTGGAACAGAGAATCCAAGCTGCTCCATGTATTTGGTCTCTACAATTATCTCTGACAACTCTGGGGCAAAGTCAACAACATATTTCACTTGTGGAGCTGAAACAGTAAAAATATATTGCTATTACATTCCATACAATGTAAACACAGAAATAAATATGACATTAAGACATATTAAGAGAGAATGTGGTATGCAAACGCTTTTGGATGCTATGTGAAAAGCATGTGCCTCAAATAAAACCACACTGAAAAGAAAGCAGGTATGTCTTATGGCTGGAACACCCAGCAATCCTAAGAAATACCTACATTGTTAAGGTAGTTCGCTGCCATTAAAACATGAACAAAAATGATCACAGTAAATCATTCAAAAATTGTTGTGATGATTCACATACATGCACATTCATATTTAAAGTGTTTTACAGAGTATTTTTGTAAACTGTAGCAAACTACCTTAATATTTGCAAAAATATGTCTTATAATTAATACCTCAACTATTGTTACTGTAAGAGAGCAATGACAGCACCTGGCATACTTGGTACAATGTACATGCACCAAGCTAATTATCATCAAATCTTTAAATACATTGTAACTTCAAGTTGCACTGTTTGTTATTTATTGTACAAATCATGTAGGAATATCAACTTTAAACAATATAAAATCATAGACTGTATAGTAAGACATGCAACTGTTGTGATCTTAAAACAAAAATCAATAGTTGTGCAAGCCTGACTGGAAATATTAAAACTAGTTGGATTAACCAAAGACATTAGAAAATGTCTTTGGATTAACTTCTGAAAACAACAGAACATTTATGTACTGCACAGCATAGTAGCCGGAACTAGGATATTTTTTTAGCCCGCCTAATTTTAAGAAACTGGGAAAGCATTCAGTTGCTCTCAAATTCTCAATTTTTTTGTTTTATATCCTTTTCCATCAAATAGGCATAATGGTGTTTTACTAGCCAGGTAAATGCCCAAGCACAGTGGCTAGTTTGCATAATACTACTTCATTTTGTTGCAATAGAAATAAATCCTGAAAGCTAATGTAAGGCATTTCAGTGACCAAGCACAGCAAAACCGCCACCAGGAAAACACTGATTGTGAATGTTACACATCTAAGTTGTGGAAATGTTTATGACAAGTAGTTATTAATGTGTGCTAAGCAATTTGCAGTGCTGTATTAATGCAAAGCTATATAACGATACTGATGATACAAACATACACTAAATGACAGATGATAAAGTAAAAAGGAAGTAGTTAAAGATGGACGAAAGACTTTACCTTCGTGTACTGGCTGCTCATGATCAGTAGGGTTTTCTATACAACAAATACATGCAAAGAAGTTACAAATGAGAGAGAAAGAAAAACAAATGAATTGATAATGTTAAAATGATGAATAACAGAAAAGTATGATAGTATGATTGCGGTGAAAAGGATGACAGAGTAAGTGGAGGAATAAGGTAAGAAATGACATGCAACATATAACAGACAAATTACATACAATTTTTATGCAAACATTGTCATTGTTTGTAGAATGCAGTAACTGTATGATATTAACAGATCATTAGCCAGTTTCAGTGTCAAGTGATAGCAAGAAACTTATCCAATCTACCATTTTAGTTCATTCTAATTCATAACAATTGTATTTGCTCTATGAGAAGTGCATCTCCAATAAAATAAACCCAGAATTGCATTTGTAGTAAACTGAAACATTAAAATACAACTTATTTTGACCATGGAAGCCCTCAAGCATATGCACTACTGATAAAGCAAACATGTTTATAATAGGTATCTATGGCACAACAGCTTTGTAGGTTAATGTTTGTTTGAAGTATTGCAAAATTTGTAGTCACTTGGAGTTAACAACCTGTACACAATCTGGTGAATAAAGCCAGCAAGCTTTCAAGTTGCCGTCGAAGTCATGGGTCATGAGCACCAAAAACACTCATATGGTCCATGTAGAGCACTTTTAAGAGAATGATATAAAGTATGGTACACTGTAGTGTATGATGTTATAAAAGCATTATAAAGATTAGCAAACATGGTGTGAAACAAACACAGTCATGATATAGAAACAAGACAGGTAACGGATTATTATATGACAGGCTGGATACTGAGAATACAAAACCACTGGTAGTATATAGTCACCATAGTGAGACGTAAATAGACCATAAAGCTCAAGGTAATGGGTGTAAACTTCTAACTCCAGCTCCATGTCTCCAGCTGACACTGCTATATAACATTCATATTGGCTATCCTTGGGGGCTTTAAAATACTATTGGTCAATCACAGTTTGCGTGACTATCTACCATGAGTGTTTTTTTTAAAACATTGTGCTATTGTGTGTTCTTTAATATCATAATTATTTTTTTGTTTTTGTCACCATTTATATTTTTAAAAATAATATTCATTGATATGGCAAATGCTGCTATATGTGTTAATATGAGATCAGACACATAATGAATCCATGTTTACAATATCAGCCCACAATGAGAGGGGGGGGCAACTATGTAATGTTAAGTACAGGACAATTCAATACCTCAGTTATCTTTCAGAAAGTCAAGCATTTTACTGCTGTACACAGAGAATTCATTGCCTTGAAGTTAAATAAAAATTATACAAAAAAAACATAGGACGAAGTGGCATTACAAGAATACTTACATTCACATTAAAAACATACCTGCTATGTGAGAATGATGGGATGCAGTGCCTGCACCTTCGTCCCCATCTTCTGGATTAACAACTTCAGTAACATGGACCTGACTAGTAGAGATACCTACAACAGGTTTAGTCAACAGATTGTGCTTCAAGAGACCAGGAAGTATACCCTCTACATATTCTCTCCATTCCTCATATTTCCTATCTTCATATTCCTTCATTTGTTTTGCAACACTGAGATACTTGGCACGAGCCTAGATAGAATAACAAGGATGATACTGTATGGATGAACAATGATTACACTGAGACACATTTTTAGGGGTGGAGGATAAAATTCACTGCATTTACTGCAGAAACGAATCAATTGTTTATTTAACCACTAATCTGTTTTTCAGTTGGAGAATCCCCCCCCCCCCTGTGCAACTACGGCGCCTGATGAATCAGTTAGCTGTCTCACAACTAATCAGTCTCTCTCATGAAACTTTTCAAACGAAAAGTACCAAACCACACCTGCCATAAGCCCAATGACCCAACATGTTCTACAAACCAAACACAACTATGAATATCAGTCATTCAAGACAGGTCATGTTTGAGAACAAATGTTTTATTGACTCATTGACTAGGTGGATAACATAGGAGGGCATGGTTTGCTCATACTTTTTTGCTGCTTTGACTTTTCATTTGGACAGCTATAGTGATTAGTTTTATATGACAACCAATCGATTGCAGTTGCACAAATGAAGAAGACTCAATGACTGAAACACAAATTAGTGGTTTCTGCAGAAAAATTAAACTAGGTAAAAGTCTGAATGTTGTAGTATAATAAGCTAATGCAATTCACTACAAATCCATATTACATGCAAAATGGAATAAAAAATTCATGTTAAAGGAATTAAAAGAGTCAAGAGTGGGACAATACATACCTGCTTGCCTTGTTCACTCACTACCATTTCTTCAACTGATTGAAATCTGATAATAGTATGCTTTATTCGATGGAACAGAGACCTCTCCCATGCAATGGCACCAGCTACTGGTGGCTGATTCTTGGATAGTGGTGGAGAGGACATACCTTGTTTAAACAAGGCATTTACAGTATCCACCTGCATACATGAGAAAAAAATATGTGTAAACAAACAATATATTTCACATGGACACAATGTGATGTGATCATATTTCTTTCCATGGCATTCACAACTCATAGTTATTACTCATGACATGAACTTTTTTCAATGTTCAATATTCAATGTTTGGGACTGTGTGACATGGCTACCGGTACTTGACAAGAATAACTACATTCCATTGAAAAATTGTCATCATAAATTACCTCCTTGCCATACTGGTTCAGAATGTCATTGAATTTCTTCATCATTTGGTTGTTGATTGCTTCACGTGATCTAATGTGTTTGAATTTCAGTAACATATCAAAAGCGCCCTCAGCTGATCTCAGTGTCTTGAATGACTCATCAATAAAATGTTTGGCTTCACTTTCAATATTGACCACTTCCTTGTGAAACCAATCCATTACATTCCTCCACTGATGAAAGTGTTTTAAGGCAAAGGGGTCAAAGTTCACCTAAAATAGACACAGAATTTGCTAGTTATTTCACAGAGCATACATATATATATATATAAAAATACTATTACCTTTTAGTCAGCTGTAGTAAACAACATACAGTTCAAGCTTGAATCAGCCATTCCCTAGTGTCTTTTGTTCCTAATTTCCCTTGATTGACTTTACTTACCCCAATAGATATGTAAAATTTTCTTTAAGGTTTTAATAGAGCTCTATTCTATTCTATCCATAGATGTGTGTAGATGTGAGCATGTATTCCTATTTCTGAAGCTGGTTTACAATGAATTTTATAATGCATCCCTTAGAGACATCAAGTTAACTACATTAAAGTTTAATAACTTTTTCAAGTTTTTAGAGATTATTTTAAAACAGTGATTAAAAATTATAATAATGAAAACACAACCCTATACTCACTTCTTCCAAAGGCACTACCAAACCATCCACTCTCTTTAAAACTTCTTCAATTTTCTTGGGATCACCAGTAACTGATTTCAGTTCAGGTCCAAAAATGTTGTAAAACTCCTCCAATACCTACAATTTGATAGAAAAATTGATAATACTGGTATATAATTTTTCTGCCACAGTAATTTATGTAGTAATGTACCGGTATACATAATAATTACGACATATCACGCCTGTGCAAAGTAAAGAGTACAATCAAAAACTAATCCTTAACAACTTTCCAAACTCCAAAAGAAATGAAACAAGTTGCATACCTGAGCTACATCATAAATATCTTGACAGATAGTAGCCATGTAATCTGTTCTTTCAAATAATTTCTTTCTATCAAATTCCCATCTGGAGTCTCTACCAGAAGCTTCAATCTTTGCTCTCACTTCAAAGTAAGATTCTTTCCACAATTCTAATGTCTTCTTAGCTTCTGATGTCTTGGATTTGATCTGCTGAGGGCTCTCTCTGGAAATTTTGTTAAAATATAACATCTATAATAACACTCAATAACTTGTAAACTTGGTAGAAAAATATTAAAGTTATGAATGAATATATAGTTTCTTTAAAATGTTACACAGTTGCTTCCACATTACATCAACCAACAGATTGATCAAAATTCCTATCCAAAAGATGTTGATGATTTATATACAAATTCTTGGTACTCCTTATGATTTGCTTCATTGCCTTTTTAATCTGTTTTTTTGGGAGACGGGTATACAATTTTTATGTAATTTACTAATATATAACAATAAGTGTATGAAGAGTTTTACAAATCCAGTAGTCTTACTTGAATATTGTTCTAATGTTGATGACTCTGACAACTCTCTCAGCTAATTCCCATGCAATTCTTTCCATGAGAGGTACCATTCTCTCATCCCTGTTGTAATGTCTGGAGATAATCCACACCATTCGAAGAGCATTCATCATGGACGGAATAGTGTCCAGCACAATGCCAAAACCAGCACCGTGTGTGAGGTTCTTAAAGTGTCGCTCTAATGTGGAGAGAAATCTTACATTATCCTTTGCTTCTGTGTAATATTTATTCAGTTCTGATCGATTAAGTTCAAAACTTTGTAGGACGGCTTGATCTGAACCTTCTTTCTTAGATAAGATGTCCAGCATCTTTTTAACAGTGGGTAATTTCAGCTGCTCACTCAATGCACTCAATGCAGCATTACGCTCACGCCAGAAGTCAATTTCAGCTAAGGGTCCATTTCCCTGAGGGGTTTTCTTGAGCTGAGTTTCCACGGCTGAAAAAATCTGTTTGGTCCACTCTAAACAAGCATTTTCAATTTTCCCAACCAGATCATCATCCTTTGCAAGTTCATTAACATCCCCTTCCAAGTTTAGTTCTGGAATATCCAGTCTTACTTCACCTTCAATTTGTTGGAATGTGCGGGAAATGTGTGATGCAAACTTCTGCATGTTTATGAGAAATTCGTCTCTCAACAGAGCTTTATTTGCTGACTCTGCAACATTAAACTCTGATGTTTCAGAGGAATTATCATCTTGTGCACTCACTTCTTCCCGTGGGGTTGCAGATATTTGCTGGGACGGAGATGTGTCTCCACCATTCTTGTGACTATTGAATGACAATAATGGCATATACACCTGAAAACAAATTATGTATACAAATGTCAATAAATTTCAAATTTAGCTTACATACTTGCTTTCAAATTCAGAACAATACATGTATTTGGTAACTGTATGTACATGTATGTGTATTAATATAACAATACAGGTTAAGATTGTAAAATGCTACAAACCTGGGTGATAATCTGCTCCAACATTACCAAAGAATGCCCACTGAGAATACCAAACTCAAAAAACTTCGGCATCATTTCATTGGCTTCCTCGATAGTGTTAGGTAATTCTACCATCCCAGGTGTGTTACGAATGAAGTACACACAATTCTCGTCAGCAACTTCTTCTGGTAAATGACCATGGCAAAAGTGAAGTATGGTTCGCAAAATCTTTTGCTTTATGATTTTCTATAGAAAGAAAACAATTAGTACATATAAATAGTGGCTCATTGTATCAATAAAGAAACTAGTACGTAATAACAATCAAGCAATTCAAATCTCTGCATTAAATAAACAGTATGTTGGGAAAACTCAGCTGTAGGCACAGACTGAGGTTTTGTCGGAAAGATAATTCATTAACAAGTTATACTACAGTATTTGCACTTTTTATGAAAGCACTATATAAAACAAATTGTCTGTTGCATGTACAATTTGGAATTGCGAGGTGGTAGAAATGAACACTGCATGTCTGCCAAATTATGAAATTATATGTATTCAGCAGTTTTAAACAAACATAAACAACAGTAAATGCAAAGATAGAAATATATATAAAAGTCATATAAATTGTGACTGGCGATATACAACTTACTGTTCTTGGCATGTTGTCTACAGTACCAGCCTGTGATACTTCTCCATCTTCTGCTACTTCACCTTCTTCAGGTTTATTTTCCTCTTCTTTTTTCTCCTCGTCCCTTGCAGTTTCTGAACCCTTGTCATCTTCAGTCGCAGCTCCCTTTTTTCCTTTTTTACCCTTCTTGCCCTTTTCTGAGTACAAAGAAGGAAAACATTGTAAAATACTATTGTTTATCATAGGTGATGGTCACAATGCAGCAATAACAGCATGTTTCAGACAGTTATTAAAGTCACTTACTTGGTTTATCTCCATCTTCAACTGGTGTTTCTGATGGTGTCTCGGGTGGTTGGTCTACACTAGCAGCAGCCTCTGATGGTGCATCTGGTGGATGTTCTTCTCCACCTTCAATTGATGCCTGTTCACCTTCTGCTTTATTGTCTTCTTCTAGAAGTTCATCTTCTAACTCAGAAGGTTCTATGTCAGATAGAAATAAATACATGTTACTTACAAGGACGTATTAATCTTAGAAATTGAAATCAACAAATTATGTTTAAATTTTTAAATTTATGGCAGTAAGTGATTTAGAAATTAGTTGGTGTATGTTTCAATTTAAAGGATGGTTGTTATTGTTGTAGCCATGTGAATTAAAATGTACCCACAAGAGTATATTGCTGCTGTATTGGACCCACATTGAATGCATGTAGCGATGATCATCACCCTAATAACTTTAGAAGTGTATATTGTGTACAGCTGTATTTTCTTCCCCATTAAATTACATAACGTAACTGTATACACAAAATACCCATGATCATGGTGTTCATGTACACCTGCCATAGCAATTTATGGATACAACAGGGGATAGACTCACAGTTGGAACAATTCATACTTTATGATTTGTAACATGTAAAAATTGTAAAAGTACCAAATTAAAGTGATTAGGAAAACTGCTATCTTCCAATCATTTTGCCTGGCAAAATTGAAATATTTCTAGGAATATTACTGTACCAGTGCATGGTGTTTGTTTTGTGTGTTACTGTTATAATTAAGTTTTGGGAAAGAGTTCCTTAAGGCCCCCACAGATTTAGCTTGCTCACCTATTTCAACTTCTACTTCAATTTCTTCTTCTTTTAAACACTTGTAGAAAAGGACTGTTGACTCCCCGTCTGCACACGTTTCGTTCAGATATTTTGCAAGCTCTCGCTCGTGTTCTCCGTCTTCGTCGTTGAGCAGCTCCTCGAATACATCGCTGTCTTCAATATTCAGTGCTGTGTAGACTCTGTCACGCATCCATTCGATCCTCACGTCATCCATGTTTGCTCTTGGAACTGCTATTATAACATAATATTATGAATGCCAAAAAAAAATTTACAGGTTCAACATATACAGAAAGTGAGCCAATCCAAGAATGCACGATATCGTTCAGCTGCACGGCCACACAACTGCTAACCTTTTTCTACATCCACATAACACATATAAAGAAAATAGTTCTTTTTCCAAAAAAAATAATTATATCATACCGAATAAAGTATATAATTGTTTGAGAGCAACTAATAAAATTTATTCAGTGAAATTATATTGAATGTGCGCTTCAACTTATTAAATATTGGTGTTTTGGCGTAGTGATACACTGACAATATCAAATGATAAGGCCTCGGTTAGTGTTCGCGACAGGGACGTGTTGCTAGGGGACGATTTCGGTAAGTTATATGTTTTTAGTATCTGAAGTATATTGGTTATTTGATTATATTTTGTTATTGATGATCATAGTGATATTTATTTCTAGATTTGTGGTTATTACTATTATTTTTTCCATTTTCCCAGGGTCCTTTGCCTTTATTTATTTACCTCAAAGTCACGTGGTTTGTCGGTAGATCTTTGTTTATTTTCAGGCATTTGTCATTTTAAAAAGGGGTGCATGAGTATGAATGATACACACGACGTTGGACATGTCATTATTTCTCTTCTGATATAATGAATATTTTATTAAAAATGTATTATTTAATTAAAGTTTTGTAAATATGATTTGTAGGTCACGACAACACAATCAAGACAAAGTAATAATTGGGATGTGCAAGGCCACCTCCCTATACATTAATAGTCAATTCCTGACCTGTCGCAAGGAATCCCCTCAGTGTATCGATTTTTGTACAGAAAGATGGCGACAAGCACTGTCGTCGTTGAACCGGCCTTTCCTCCCATAGTTGTCTGGGAATGGTTCAACGACCACGGCAGATGGAGACCATACGAACCGATAATCGTACTGGAATTAGAAAAAAGATTTCTTAAAGGCGGTAACTTCACTCTGGGAGATGTTGAGTCAAAGCTTTCGTGTTATGTTGTTAGTTTCAGCAGTATGCAGCAAATAAGCAAAACCACAAGTAAGTACACTGTAGTCATTCTCTGAAATTTGGGTCAAAGGCAACAATTGTAGCGACTTTACGGAGCTGGACAATCACACGTTGTTTCCATACTGAATAAAATAAAATAATTTTTTTCAAACAATAAATTCGGGTAACAGGAAGCGAGCCAGCCGCCGCCAAGGAACTCGCGTTTTCATACAATAATCAGAAATGTTTTAAAGTCCCTATCACAATGGAACTGAGAATATTCTCAGCTCCATGCTGGTCCGTAGGTAAATTGTATATTCCAATAAAGCAGTGTTTATAGAAATGTAACATGGTCTAAAATCCAAAATTAGTTGAATATCATCACATCGTGCATTAAAGTTGTAATATATTATAGTAAAAATAATATTTATATTTTAATTTTAAATATTTTATTTATTTTTTGGAATTATTCTCTATAGTCAGTTTGGTATAATTATATTGTTAGTTTAGTGTCTTTTTTCTCAAAGCACATATGAGCTATTTCTATTAACAAGTTAATGGTCAGTCTCATTTCTGTCCTAGGAGAAAGTTTTGTCCACTAATACTTGAAAAGCATTCATGCACAATTCAATTGGTTATTTTCCATTCCGCTGCAAGATCTTGCGTACTGCATGAAAGATGCAAAAATCGTATGATTTGATTTTGAACTCATTCTTTAATCTTTGATGTTTGAGGAGGAATTAATGATGCCATGTTCATATCAGAGAAGAGACCCAATCAGATGTGCCAAAATCATATTCTCATTTGTTGAAGTACTGTAGTAACATACCCCCCCCCCCCTCCAACAACAACAGTCATGTTTCCTAACAGAAAGTAGGACAGATATTTTCATGAACATGGCACTATTAAAAAAGTTGACAAATGCCATTAGAAATTATTAAAAGTCAGTTGACTTTTTATGAAAATCAACTTGAAATTGCTGAATTATGACCGCAAAACGTTATTTGAGCAGTGAAATTAGTATTCAGCCTGTGCTGGATACATGTATGTACATAATCCAGATATGATTGTAAAATTGCAAATAATCTCAAGGCCAGTTGTAAAATTGCAAATAATCTCACGGCCAGTTGACAAACTGGGCATGGGCCGAATCAGCTACAACCACATAGGTTCCAACATGTGCCAGGATTCAAATATATATATATATATATATAGAATAGAATTCTTTATTAATACCGTAAAGATAATGTGACATTTCTTTTTTGGTTAAGAGTTAATAAAGTTTTTACATAGTTGAGCGGACATAAAACTATCCGTGAATAGTAAGACAATTTACCATATGTAAGAATATGGCATATGTTGTTTATTTATGCCGGTAATGTATTTCTTATGTTGTAACACTGTTCGATGTACTTTATGGTTTCTTTGATTAGTGAACGAAGTGTTCTTATTACTCATTATTTGTATGAATTTAGTATTGTTTGTCATATCTTGGAACCCATATATACAGGATTTGGCTGTTGAATATA